ACACACATCAATTCTATGTGTGTGTACCGGATGCATGCATGCGTGTGTGCATTATACACACATGTGCACGTGTCAATTTTACACATGTGTACAGGACATGTGCATGTGTGTGTGCGTTGTACACATGTACACACATCTATTCTACACATATACATGTGTATAAATTACACACACATCTGTACCCATCGGTTATAAATACATACAAAACACCTACAACCTCTCAGAGAAAGAGCCAGTGCAGTGCTCCTTGGTTCTCCAAGCCCGGGCCCCCCGGCACACGAAGGGCAGGGACGGGCCGGCCGCTCTGGGGCCCAGGGAGACTGTCCAGGAAGGGTAAGGCCACCGTCGCTTACCTTCTTCCAGGTGGGTGTACTGGAGGGGAGGAAGCCCAACGTGATACAGGTTGTTTTCCTCCAGACCTCATCCTTACTCTGGGTGGTGCCGCTGGGCTTTCCTTTAGAAACACTCTCACTTGGGCTGGAGGCCGGCCCTGCAGAATTAGAAGTATTCGTAGAGAGTCGTCTCCAAGCCCTGGTCTGCTGCGTGGGGTGCCTTCGCCCCGCCCCCAGTGTTCCTCAGCAGCCACAGGCCTGCCCTCCTCTCCCCTCAGGGCATCCTCCTCAATTGGACCAAGGGCTTCAAGGCCTCTGGAGCAGAAGGGAACAACATCGTGGGGCTCCTCCGTGACGCCATCAAACGGAGAGGGGTGAGGCACCCCCTGACCACCCTGGGAGCCCCCCCTCATCTCTGGCCACGAAGCCAGGGACGGCCTCCTGGGCGTCCCTCCCCGGGGCTGCACGAAGCCCAGAGCGGCCCGAGCCGAGACCCCAGCCCCATCACTGTTGCCTCTGTGCCTCTTGGCAGGACTTTGAAATGGACGTGGTAGCAATGGTGAACGACACAGTGGCCACAATGATCTCCTGCTACTATGAAGACCGCCGGTGTGAGGTTGGCATGATTGTGGGTAAGGATTCACGCCCTGCTCTATCCAGGGGCCTCGGCAGCACAGAGCCTCCGCCTGCCTTTGTCTCTGGCCCTGAGGCACGAGGGCCAAAAGTCCTGGGCCATGGGTGATGGCCAGAGCAGGGCCCCTGTGCCAGGCGTGGGCCCCACAGGCGACAGGGTGTGGGGCGGTCTTGGGAAGATGCAGGAGCGTCCTGAATGCAGCTAGCATATCCCAACACTCACAAAGTCCCTGCATCAGACGGCGCACCGGCTACAGGTCCGCCTGGCCCATCGGGATTTAATTACATCCCCTTATCTGGTAAATTGACCAAACCAGACAGACTTGTCCCCGTGCAAGAGGATAAGCACAGGTGGCATCACTCTCTCCTGCACGGTCTTCCTCTCCCTGCACGAAGGCCAGGAAGGGAGCGGCACTGGCCCCAGCGGACCTCGGGCCTTTCTAGAAGCTCCTGAGGGTCAGGAGTATGTACTGAGCATGGCTCCTGTCTGGTCAGTCACCTCCTGGGCATGTAGGCATGCAGTGTCCGGGCTCTGGCTCCCCAGAAAGCCAGTGGCAAAGATGTTTGCTTCACGGGGCCCCTCAGAGCCAGCCCTGAAGGGTTGTCTGCGCTCACAAACCCATCTCCAACAGCACATCCACATCCTCAGCTGCCGCCTGGCCTTGCTCACATCTCCTCCTTCCGTGTTCAACTTTCAGATGGAAAGCCGGCCCTGAGTCCCCCGCCTAAACAGGAGGGGCAGGGTCCTGCTCTCCTGGCTGTCCCCTTCAGAGCTGCCTGGGGCAGCTAAGTCAGGGCACGGCTCCCCAAGATGCCCTGTCTTGGTGTCTGAGCTCTGCAGCCCCTGCCTCGGGCACACCCCTGCTGGAGCAGAGATGGCCGAGGGTGGCCTGGTCCCACACCTGTCCTGCAAACACTCTCCTCAGTGCTTAAAAACATCTTGATGATAATGACCAAGATCCAGAAATTGAGAGGATGCGTGTCAAAGTCTGGATTTCTGGTTTTTTTCTTTTTTTCCACATACACACCAAAAAAATGGGAAGGCCCCATTCCTGCTGGGCAGGTCCACCGGCCAGCATTAGAGTTGCCGTACCCAGTGGTGTTAGGAGCATGCTACCCATGCCATCACGCTCAGAAACCATTTTGAAACTTCATCATTTCTCAGCAAAGGACACCACGTTTTCACTCTGCAAGGGACTGCAAATTACAAATTCCATAGCAGTCCCAGGGACCCAGGCTGTGCCTTACTCACCTCTGGGTGCCCCCAGACCAGGGCCCAGGACAGAGACGCTCAAGCACATGTCCGTAAAGCGCTAAAAAACAAGGATGGTGGATAACCAAGATAAAACCACACACATCTCTAGTTGGCAAAGCACTTCGACACGTTTCACTCCGTCCTCCCAAGTATCCGGGTAATAAGGTGTCACCAGCCCCTACTGGGGATGAGGAGCAGCCCAGGGAGATGGGCTCATGGATGCGAGGTCACACAGCAAACCCAAGTCTTTTAGCCCCTGGGAAAGTCGCCTTGCCCACGTTGCCAGGCCAGGCAGTGGTGGCTGCGGCAGCAGGACGCTGGGAAGCTAGGGCCATGGGGGGCCTCCTGCAGGGAGAGGCGGGTTCCCAGGACTGCAGCCCCTGCTCCACCCCACCCCACCCCCGCCCCAGTGGGGCCTGACCCGTGGTCCCCACAGGCACAGGCTGTAATGCTTGCTACATGGAGGAGATGCAGAACGTGGAGCTCGTGGAAGGGGACGAGGGCCGCATGTGCGTCAACACTGAGTGGGGCGCCTTTGGGGACTCCGGTGAGCTGGACGAGTTCCTGCTGGAGTACGACCGCGTGGTGGACGAGAACTCCCTGAACCCCGGCCAGCAGCTGTAAGGACCTTGCCCGCTGCCGCCCCCCGCCCCCGCCCTGCTCAGGCAGGCAGATAATGGGCTTGTTTTTAAACAACTCTGGGGAAAAGCCAACTGACAATCCTTTTGCAAGCTCCTCCCTTCTTGCGCTCACTCGCCCCCTGTGAACCCGGAACCGTGAGAGACATGAAGGTTTAGTCCCCAAAAAGAGGGTCTGTGGATACATGAGCCGGGATCACCCCCCCTCCCCGTCCCGGAAGGTGACCACTGCATAGGGAGGCTCTGAGACCCCCGAGCAACGTTCAGCGGGTTCAGCCCTGAGTTCCCCGGAGTAGACATCTGTCCACGGTCGCAGAATGAACAGTAGTGTTTCTCGCGGAACGCTGCGGTTTGGCTTGAACAGCTTGAGACCCAGCCCGCACAGAGCTCGTCCTGAGTCATGGCTATCCTAATCAACCGCCCAGCTGCCGGGCACGTGCATCAGCTCCGAAACCTCCGCTGGGTCGGTGGGAGTCAGTGCACTTCGAGATGAAAGTGCAGAGGCTCACATATGTGAAACACGCGAGTGCTAGCTCGGCGGATCCCAGGAGCCCAGGGCCCCAGGCAGGGCCCCAGTCCGTCTGAGCCTGAGTTTCCCAACCATCCGGGGCAACGAGAACAGCTCCCATCACGCGGCTGTGGGAGGACGCAGGGGGCTCGGCACCGGGCCCTCGTGAGGAAGGTCGCGCAGCCCGCACCGACGGCCTGCAGTAGGGCAGGGTGCGGTCCTGAGGCCCCAGAGCGCTTCTAATCCTAAAATCCTGGTTGATAAATGAGGGGACGGGCGCGAACCCAAGTTTGGAAGCGGGGTGTCACAGCGCCCCACCTGGCCTCCTCGTGGCCGCGCGTGGAGACCTCCATGACAGGGATGACCCGGCCTACCTCTGTGCAGGTACGAGAAGCTCATCGGCGGCAAGTACATGGGCGAGCTGGTGCGGCTCGTGCTGCTAAAACTCGTGGACGAAAACCTGCTTTTCCGCGGGGAGGCGTCGGAACAGCTGCGCACGCGCGGCGCCTTCGAGACGCGCTTCGTGTCGCAGGTGGAGAGGTGCGCTGGGCGCGCCGGGCGAGGGGCGGTGTCTAGGGGGTCGTGCGCGGGGGGCGGGGGGCGTGCTCAGGGGAGGGGCCGTGTACACGGGGGAGGGTCTGCGGCGTGGACGCAGGGGGCGTGGCGGGGCGTGGGCGGGGCCCCGGCCCGGGGTCCGGAGCGAGGGTCCCGGGCGGCGCGTGGCCCGCAGGGGAGCCCGCAGCCAGGCAGTTGACGCAGCTCACGCGTCCCCCTCCGTGGCTCCCCACCGCCGTGGACATCGCCTCACTTCACGCGACAGCCCCGAGGCGCGCCGGTGTCGGCCACGTTAGAGCGGAGACCCTGGGCTTAGAGGCGCAAAGACCAGCTAACTGCTGGTCCCTGGCGGAATCGAACCCGCTCCCCTCCGGAGCCCGAGCCCCAAGCGCTTTGCCTGGGTGAGGTGGGCAGGGGGAGGGGAAGAGGCCGCCGCCGTCGGGGTCGGGGTCTGGCTGGCCCGGAGGCTGAGCGACCCTCCAGCGACGCCCTCCCTCCCCCCGGCCGCCCCGCCCCACAGCGACTCAGGCGACCGCAAGCAGATCTACAACATCCTGAGCACGCTGGGGCTGAGGCCCTCGGCCACCGACTGCGACATCGTGCGCCGCGCCTGCGAGAGCGTGTCCACGCGCGCCGCGCACATGTGCGCCGCGGGGCTGGCGGGCGTCATTAACCGCATGCGCGAGAGCCGCAGCGAGGACGTGATGCGCATCACCGTGGGCGTGGACGGCTCCGTGTACAAGCTGCACCCCAGGTGAGACCACGTGGTCGTCCGCCCTCCCCATCGGGCCCAGCGGCCCTTCGTGGGTGTGCGTTCGGAGGACGGAAGGCAAGCGAAAATAAGCTCTCCGAGGTCCCAAGGGTTAGCCCCTCGTCCCCTTTGGGCCCCCAGACAAGGAGGAGGGAGGGCCCCCTGGGCTTCCTCCTCGCGCTGCGGGGCAGGAATGAGGCGCTCGGGGAGTGCAGGGAGGAGGGACGGCAGCCCCGCTTCCCCTGCGCAGCTTCAAGGAGAGGTTCCACGCCAGCGTGCGCAGGCTGACGCCCAGCTGCGAGATCACCTTCATCGAGTCGGAGGAGGGCAGTGGCCGGGGTGCGGCCCTGATCTCGGCGGTGGCCTGCAAGAAGGCCTGCATGCTGGGCCAGTGACAGCGGAGGCCCCCAGGCAAGGAGGCAGCAGTGGCTCGCTGGACCTGGGCCCCAAGGGACTTGCTCCCCACGGGTGCCCCCAGCCTCGCCCAGGAAAGAGGTCTCTCTTTGTAAGGACCCTGGATGTGTCCCATCCCCACTGCCACCCCGAAAGATGGGGAAAGGCCCGCGGGGGATTTGGGGGCCCCTCGGCAGACCTCTTCTCTCAGAGGTTGGTGGGACAGCCCAGGGTCCTGACTGGGTTGGGGGCTGAGGTGAGCAGGCATGGAGACCCCCAGAGCCCCTCACCTGTCTCACTGCAATCAAGGACCCAGAAGGGAGTTGCTCATTCAGGACTTGGCTGCATCTCTGTACTGCCTCCTCTTGGAGCCTTCAGCTTGACTCAGCCTCTACCGGCCCTGCTCTGGGAGGGGGCTGTGCTCTGGACCCTGCTCCTGCCTGGGAACTCAACCCACTGGGGGAGGCAGCCTAGCTGACCTGGCCAGACCTACACCGGGGTTCCACAGGGGGCCAGAGGCTGCCGGTCACCCAGGCCTGGCTGTTTTCTTGCCTGGGACTGGGAAATGCCACAGCGGAGGCTGCTTGTACCCTGAGGCCTGGAGTTGGTAGCCCTTCTGCTCTCCTGCCGCCATCCATGAGTGGTTTGTGGTTCTGGGATGGACCCTCCCAGGTGGTGCGAGACACAGGGCCCCCAGAGCCCTGCCTGCCCAGAGGGACCCAGGGTGAGGAGGACTTCCCCCTCCCACCCCCAGGCAGGCCTGGGGGCACCTCCGTGGTGGAGGCCTAAGCTCCCACAGGGCTGGCCTGGAAAAAGATGTCAGCACCCAGCGCCCAAGGGACCACCCGGGCCTCTCTCTTCTCACCAGACTTCTGTGTGCCACACCAGCCTCTCATGCCCAACCTGGGACTGTGTGGTTTTTTAAGTAAACGTTTTAAAAAGCTTAGAAGGTGGCGTTGACAAGTGTTCTTTGCTCTTTGTGCATAAGGACTGTGGGACAACATGGAGACGTGGTCACAGGTGCACAGATGCTCTACAACCTGGGTGTCTCGGAATTCGCCACCCCCTCCAGCCAGCCGTGCCAGGGAGTGTGAAGGGACACACGGGCTGTAGGGATAGAGGTGGCATCGGCGGGCGGGTGGTCAGACGCACCGGCTTGCCCCGGCCCCCGGCTAACCGTCTATGGGCTGTGCGTGTGGACCTGTGGGCTGTGATTGCCCCTGGGAGTGCCTGGGAAGGAGTTGGGGGCCAGGGTGCTGCTCCGAGAAGTGCGACAGGCGCCCTGGAGCCACTTGGGTTGTGACAGTGATGGGCGGGGGAGAGGGAAACACGAAGTCACGTGATTGCTGAGGCCCTTCCAGATACTTCTGGGTGACGAGTCTAGTCTGAGTTAGCCGAGGGCCCGGCGCCATCTCCCAGCTACGCCCTGTTACACGTCCACACGTTTGTAGGATTAGAATCTATGCTTGCTCTTCGGTGAGAGGAACTACCCAACAAAGCCGGAATGACTGTTATTTCATTCAGAACTTAACCCAGAGCTGCGGGTCTGAGATGTTCCCTCGTTTTTCTGGGTGTCTCCTGTGGGATTGGGTCAGATCTTTTTAGTTCTCTTGAATCTAAAATACGCATTAGAACGTCATGCGAGCCTCCGGTTACTTCATCCGCGGTACTCGTGTTTCGTTCGGCGCTCGTATCGGATCCCGTTTTGACCTAAACTAATTCCTAGTCATTCTTTTCCTTGCAGTTCAGGGGATTCTATTGATTTTTTAAGTTCTCTCTGTGGGTGGTTTATACGTTTCATGAATTTCATTTCAGGAGAGTAATGGAGCTATTGTCCGACGCTTGTTACACAGGGGACATTGGGTGTTACTCACCATGCAAACTCCAGCTCTACCAGCTGGTCTCTGCATTTGTCCCCCCAGGGTCAAGGGGCAGCCATGCAGAGCCAGGTTCCGGGGGAGGGAGGGTGGGCAGCCAGTGGGTCCTCTCCTCTGCTCCGGGTTCCGAGAGGGCAGCCAATGGGCCCCCAACGTTAGTTCTAGAAGGTCCCCAACCCCCAGCCCTTCTCCGGGCCCTAAAGAAGCAGGCAAGCCTGCAGCCCGGGCAGAACAGAGGGTGTCTGACCCCTGGCTGCACAGCAGAGCCTCACATGAAGGGCTCATGACCACTTTCTTGGGGGTCCAGGGGGTTCCTTGGGGTCCAGGTCATGTACCGTGCTCCAGAAGCCTCACACACAGATTCTGTTTGGGGCCACGACTAGCTCAGGGCTGCCGTCTGCCCCCCTGTCAGACGCCAGGACCACCGTCCACCCAAACCTCTGGGAATCCCTAGGGGTCTCAGGCCAGAGACCATCCTCAGAACCACCCACCGCCCTTCCCAAGCCCAATAGAGGCCCCAGGCCAGCCCTCCGAACGCCGTCCTCTTGGACTGGGCGGGTTCTGGGCTGGACCTGCAGGAGGGACAGTCAGATGGGGGTCACAGGGGAGACTTCTTATGCAGGGGGCTACCTCATTCAGCACCCAGAGTGGCGAGAGCTGTGAGCCTGTGAGCTCTGCCCTTGGGAGCCCTTGCTGCTGGATGGGTGGATGCCGGGATGTTAGACATCAGGGGGCCTGAAGGTCACCAGGAACGTGGCTGGAATCTGCCTGGGGCCCTGTCCTCCCCCAGCCCAGGCAGGGCTGCCAAGTTTGGGCCTGTCCTCTCTTCCTGTCCTTATTTGGCGCTGCAGGTGATAAGGCCGAAACATAAAAGGGCTGGGGGCCCCTTGCAGCAACCCAGCTGCCATAGAGAGAGGATGGTGAGTGCCCGGTGGGGTAGCCAGAGGCCAGCAGGCTCCCAGGTGCTGTCCCGTGGGCTGGGGGAAGAGAGCCAGGGAGTTCTGTGCTTGCACTGGGCCTGGAGAACTAGTCTCCAGAGGTAGGAAGAGGACCCTGACCTAGGCTCTCCTGGAAATGCTCAGGGGGTGTGCATGGGAAGGGGGGAGTCTTTGGGGAGCCGGGCAGAGGACCTCTCCCCACCGACAGTGTTGCAGGCCAGCAGGAAGGCAGGCACCCGGGGCAAGGCCGCGGCCACCAAGCAGGCCCAGCGAGGCTCTTCCAATGTGTTCTCCATGTTCGAGCAAGCCCAGATCCAGGAGTTCAAGGAAGTGAGTGCCCCACCCCCAATGGCCTGAGACCAGTCCTGGCACCCCACCCTGCATACACCCCCTCTGCTCTGTAGTCAGTGGTCCTGGCCCCTGTCCTTGCTCCACCCTCCACGCTCCAGGACCCCTCCCTGCCTCTGGCCTTCCCTGGGGTGGGGGCTGTTCCCACTTGGAGGCTGTGCCCCCCACCTCGCAGGCCTTCAGCTGCATCGACCAGAACCGGGATGGCATTATCTGCAAGTCAGACCTTCGGGAGACCTACTCCCAGCTCGGTGAGTGCTTCTGCCTTCCCCCTGCTCGTGGGGCCTGCTCACACCAGGGGAGCCGCTCTGGCTCAGCTAGCTGGTGGGAGGCCCACTGAGAAAGCACAGCCCCCCCCACCTCCGCCTGGCAGCGCCCGCCTTCCCCCTTCCCGACTCACACCTCCCTCCCCATCTGTCTCCGTGCACACACACCCCTACCCCACTGGTCACAGCTCCCCATCCCTTCACACTTCTCCACCCCCTGAGGCCCAGAAGCAGGGAAGGCCGGCCTGGGCCCCCCCCCCCAGACCCCATGTCCATGGCGTGCCCCACCCCCAACCAGGGAAGGTGAGCGTCCCAGAAGAGGAGCTGGACGCCATGCTGCAGGAGGGAAAGGGTCCCATCAACTTCACCGTCTTCCTCACACTCTTCGGGGAGAAGCTGAATGGTCAGCCTGGGCCGGATTGGGTCCCCCCAGCTTGTTATCTGACTAAGCCCCACCCAGAACTCACCTGGACACTCCCTGGCACTGGCCCACCCAGGGCCTGTGGGGTTTTTCCCTCCCTCCCAGACCCATGGGCACCGGTCACCCTGACTCCCAATTCAGCCTCCCTCCCAAATCCCAAATCCCAAATCCCAGTCTCCTGGCCAGGCCTGCCCACAAGGACAGCTGGTCTTGGCCTCCCTGAGCCCCAAGGGACACTGTATCAGGAAACACCCTCCCACCTCTTCTGGGACGTGGCGGGCCCCCAGCACCCTGGGGTCCTCTTGGGTGGGCACGGCTGCTCACCTGGCTCCCCCGGGCTCCCAGGGACAGACCCTGAGGAAGCCATCCTGAGCGCCTTCCGCATGTTCGACCCCAGCGGCAAAGGTGTGGTGAACAAGGATGAGTAAGTGTGAGCAGGGGGAAGGGGCACCATGCAGAAACCGTGGGGAGGCCCTTGGTGAGGGCGGCCGCCTGGGCCAGGGGAGCCTTCACCGCCCCCCGCATTGGGCCACCCCTCCGCTCTCCCCAGGTTCAAGCAGCTTCTCCTGACCCAGGCAGACAAGTTCTCTCTGGCCGAGGTGAGGACTCGGGCTCCTTCAACACCCTCCCCACCCCTTCACAGGGCCCTTGCCCCGCAGGACACTGGGCAGGCCTTGGTGACCCACCACCCTCGTGGGCTCGGAGCACGGCTGTGTGGGACCACCTCCATCGAGCCCCAGAGGGTGAAGGGCATGGAGTCAGAAGGGAGGAGGGTGTGCCAGGCTGGGAGAGCTGTGTGTGCAAAGGCCCAGGGATGAGACAGTGGCACCTCCAGCGTTTGGAAGATGCTCTGTACGTGCAGGGTCAGGGCAGTGCAGAGAGGACATGGAGGCACCCCGTGGCCGAGGTGGGCCCTCCGACCCACAGCCCCCTTCAGACCCCCACCCTCCACCCCTGTTTCCCTCGCCTGCCCAGAGTCAGACAACAGAAACATGGTAACTCTGAGTTTGGGGTTTGGAGCTGAGAGGGGACAGGGTGAGGGGTCACAGGTTGCAGGTCACGGCCACTGGCCACCCCAGGCCTCCCTGGCCGGGCTGCCTGTTACATGCCCTCCCCCAGGTGGAGCAGATGTTCGCCCTGACGCCCATGGAC